TCGCTGGCCTCGCGGCCCACGGGCCCCAGCCTCGTCGAATGCCACGCAGAAGGCGCTCTCGATCTCAGCCAGGCCGGGCCGGCGGCCGTCCTGGAGGAGCCAGGCGGAGCGGCGACCGCGCGGCGCCGCCGCCCGTCGCCACGAGAACTGCCGCCGTCGTCGGGCGCGAAAGGGCCCTCGGAGGTGCGAAGCCACTTCATGCCATCGACGCAGCAAATGCCACCGAGGTCGGGAAACGAGGGCGGGCTGTTGCGCCCGGGCGCAGGGGGCGCCGCGCAGGGGCTGAGAGGCCGCGGGGGGGCCCTCCCGGCGCCCCGCGGGGCGCCCGCCCACTGCCCTGGGACCAGCGGGGCCGCCGCGGGGAACTGCCCCCGCGCCGCCAAGGCGGCCGCTGGCGCGGCGCGGCTGGCAGAGCGGGAGGGGGGCCAGCACGGGCCACCCACGTGGCCCCAATACTCTCTGACAGAGGCCGCGGCACATTAGCGCCGGACCGGGCCCCCCACAAGAGGGGGGCCGGGCCCTCGGGCCCCACGGGGGGCACGGCCAACGGCCCCACCCTTGCCGGGGGCGCACAGCGCGAAAGGCAGGTGCCCCAGCGCCCGAGGCCTGGCGCGGGACGGCGGTCGGGCCTGGCCGCGGCGAGCGCGCCGCGCCGACGGCAAAGATTGCGCAGTGTCCCCGAGCACGGGAGGCGGGCTGTCGGACTGCCCGACCGCGGGGGGCGGGCTGGAATCGCCCGGGGCAGCGCCGCCTGAGTCGGCGGCAGCCGATGACGGGCGAGCGGGCCCGTCGACGGCCGAGGAGCCCAGGCATGGGGTCGCCACAGGGGCAGACGCCGAGCGCGCAGCGCTGCTCGAGGATTGCCCAGCGCGCCTGGCCGGGCGGGCACACGAACCCGGGCAAGGCCGCGGGGCCCCCCCGATCGACGGGGGCCCCGCCGCGCGGGGGCGGCGGCGGAGCGCGCATCGCGGGAGAACGGGGGCGGGGCGACGCTGCGAGCGGCACGCTGCTCCGCACCGCCGAGCGGGGCAGCGCCGCGAGAACCACTGGCGCCAGGTAGGCGAAGAGCCCCCCCGACATGGCAAGCGGATGGACGGCGCCGCGCCACGGAGGCTTCGCCCATGGCCAATCGCGGCACCTGCGGCGCGCCCCTGCCTTGCAGCAGCAGCAGCCGCAGCAGCAGCAGCAAGAGCAGCGGCCGCGAAGAGCGGGGCCCGCCCCGGAAGGGGGGGCCGCGGGGGATGCGGCAGCAAGGGCAGGCGAGCCAGGAGAAGGCACTGCAATCGACGCACGGCCGCCTCACACGCAGCCGATCACAGGCGAGGCCGGGCCCCCCAGGAAGCACTGGCCACGGGGGCGGCGGGAGCGGAGTCAAGATGGCTCGCAACCTCGCGGCGAAATGGCCACGGCGGCGACGACCGCCCGACACGGCGACAGGCGACGCGAGGGGCGCGCGGCCTCGAGACCGAGCTGCAAAAAGAGGGCGCGCCGTCGCGGAGAGCCACCGAGCCCCGAAGGCCTGGCCTGGCAAGAGTCGAGTCTCCAACGCGAGGGGTCACGACTGTCGGGCCCGCGGGCGCAGACTTGCGACGCGCCTGGGACGTTCTCTGTCGGGGGCGCCCCGCGCAGCAGAGCGCTTCAATCGACGCCGCGCGCGAGGCGCCAGTCAACGAATCCCTTTCCAAAATTGGGAGAGCGCGCGGCGAGGCACCACTCCTCCCAGGCGGCATCGTCGGCGGGGGTCTGTAGACTCGCAGCCACCGCGGGAGGGGCAGCGGGCGCGCGCGATTGGGGGGGCTGGCTGGCGGCGGCGCTGGCTGGGAAGAAGCGCGACGCGCAGCGGCAGTCGCTGCCCCGGGATCGAAGGCTGGCGCGGGAGTGGACGCGGCCGCCGGGCCAGGGCAGGACGGCTGCCCCGTCGCGGGGCCCGGGGACAGCCCATCCAGCCACTGCGCCACTGGCAGCCCAAGCGCATGTCAAATAGTCGAATACAGAGTTGAACCCCAATCGGATCACAATCGGCGCCATTCGGACCCAGGTCCGCGCGAGGGCGTCGGGGGGCGACCGCGGAGGCCACCAGGTGGAGGTGGGGGGTCGGCTGCAACGCAGCTGGGCCGCGGGGCCGCGGGGGCAGGGACCGCCGCGGCGGGGCGGGCAGCGCGGGCGGCCCTGAAGTCGCGGGGGTCAGCGACGGCGATGGTTGACTCGGGCGCGGCTTTAGGGCGGGGCTTGGGCGCCGCGTGGAAAGGCGGGCGGCCCCCGTAGGTGGAGGTGGGTCACGGTCGGGAGCGGCAAAGAGGGGGGCGTCCAAGAGGGGGGGGCGCAAATCATGACCGGCGGCATGTGCGCGGCCCAGCGGGGGGGCCAGGGAAGTAATGAAATAAGAAGAGGCGCCATGAAATCTGGGGAAATATCATGGCCCGCGCCATGATATCCACCCCCCCCTAGTCATCACCCCCCTCTTTTCCGCCCCCGACACGGCCACCTGCAGGGGCGGCGG